GGGACGCCCCCCCCCCCCCCCCCCCCCCTTCCGACAGTCGAATACTTGATCTATAAGTTACTTAAGTGCTGAATGTGCGGTCCATCAAAAATTAGCGTACTACGACTAATTCAGAAAACCAGGAACCTGCTGGTCCATCCTCCACTTCTGGTCTCCCCCCCCCTCAAAAGAAAAGGAGCAAAAATAAGCCTACGACATGTAATCAAGAAAATCAGGAACCTGCTGGTCAATCCTCCACTTCTGGTCTCCCTCCACTGCCTCCCCCTAAAAAGAAACAGCGGGTGGGATCAAGTAATACTAAGTGAGAACCCTGCGCCTGTTCCTGCGGTAAACGTCCTCATCCGATGCCTAGATATTCCGGACTTTGATCTCTTCAATGATTCGGAAAACAGGTCCGTTTACAACTTTGTCTCGTCCCCCCTTCTCTCTCTCTCTCTATCTCTCTCTCTCGTGGCATTCTCGCAGCCCTCACTCACTCTGCCTCACGTCGCCGGGAACTAGTTCGCGTAGCGGTCGATTAGGACCCATGACTGTATAAGTTAAGTCCGTTGTTTGCGCGCATTAATACATATAAACATGGTGGGTCCACCAAAGTTCAATCAGAGAGGTTCAATCCAGCCCCTATATAGATGATCTTTGTCCTTGCGCGATGAGGGAAAAAAATGAGGAAATGGTTGGCCGATTTCCATCCTTCTTTTGAAACACCCCGTGAGAATATAATTTCATAATACCGTAGTCTCCGCCTAAGATCCCGCCACTTACGATCCCGGTTCGCTTAAGATCCCGTTGTTTTAGGAAAACATAATTTTTACTATACAAAAGTCACCCTTAAGATCCCGCTCTGATGGTCTACATTCGGCTAAGATCCCGCATTTCAGATCATAATTTGCTAAACAAAAACCCGGGCGGGCACAGCCGATCAACCTAGAGTGAAAAGTTGAGATCAATAAACTGTCCGTCGCGTCAAAGATCAACCACTATCGTGAATGTGATCACATACACGTTGTAAAACTCGATGAAGCGATACAATGTTTGCCCCAGACGGGATCACACCGAGGTGTGAACTGACCGACGCGTTTGTTTTCCCCACGCATCGCACTCACACCTGAGCTCGCCACCATAACTTGCATCACTCGCTGGGTGGGTAGGGCCTACACCTATACGTTCTTACTGATCGTCTAGGCCTACACGTTCGCTCCAGGCAGGATCACATCGAACCATGAACTCTTCCTTGACCATTGCAGCAGTTGTCTCTACTCCCGAATTTTCGAGACAGACTGAATTTTAATTGGTGGGTTCACAACGTAATGGTGTGTAACGACAAAGGCGGTTTGGAAGGGGGGGGGGGACTCGGTCAGAGATGGAAAGCTATAAATTTTTGACAGGTAAAGAGGAGGGGCAACTGGATAAGCGTAGATCTTGAGACTCATGATAGGATAATAAGTGAAAATGGCACGCCACATCCCACTATGCACCGTGATAGGTCATCAAGGTTAACCACTCTTTGCTCGTCATACGTCATAAACCCACCAAGCGGTCACGTCAGTTCATTGTAGAGTGGAGGGAGACCATTTTACCGATTGTGAGCCTTAACATGGGTCACCACAGATTCTTCCCTGGGTTCATCGGTTAAGATCCCGGTTCGCCTAAGATCCCGCATTTCCTTGCTCCCAAGCACCGGGATCTTAGGCGGAGACTACTGTATTCGCACACCCTGTGCAAATAAAATTTCATAGTATTCGCACACCATGTGCGAATAAAATTTCATAGTATTCACACACCCTGTGCGATACAGCCCAAAAAAACCCCTCCGGGATTCGAACCCACACTAAAAATATAATACTTCTTCAAACGCAGACATGCTGTCATTTCGGCCATCAGAACTACCAACAGAAGGAGGTAGATTAAGCTTAAATATTTTTACAGCACGATTTCAACGCAACACACATTTCTAGATCTAGATCTATCTATCTAGAGTCTAGAACTAGACTTATATCTAGATCTAGATCTAGTTGGGTTTTTTTACATGACATGAGGCATGAGGCGGCTGGCATCAGATCGGCAGATGAGGTCTGACGAAAAATTTAAACATTTCAGCTGGTGAAATATTGGAAACCGAAGTGACTATTCGGACTCGAGTCCGAATATGAAAAAATGTTATTCTTGTCCAGCATGACATCATTGCCGACTTCCTGTGACTCGTGACTCCGGCTTCCTGTCCTGCCTCACTCGTGACTCGCCTCAGGCTGGGTAGAGACGGGGATCACTTCGGGCAAAATGGCGTTAAATTGTGCAGGAGCCGAATTTTTATCTTATGATGAATTTGAGGCCGGCCTGAAAAGTTATAGCGCTTCTAATAAATGTTTATTTGTCAAGAGGTCATCAGAAGCAATTAAAGATGGCTCGTTAGCGTGTGTCGGGGTCGGATGGGCGGCCTGCACACGTGTGGCTGTGTGTGCGTGTGAGGGAGGGGGGGGGGCACTATCGGTCCGGACATTGAATGTCGCATACGCGTCAGTCCCCCCCCCCCCCCCCCGGGAACTTACAATAATAAGCTAGTCTTGTCTTGGGGTAAATCTCCCCCGAGGTGCCCACCCCAGAAAACCCAAATGAGTATTGGGAAAAATGAAAATTTGTATTTTTAGGGGAAAATGGGTATTCCCCCCGACCGACCGACTAACCAGGAAAAATAAAATGTTCCGGGGGG